TTAGACTTTACCCTCTTTGTTAAGGAAAAATATAGCCGTAAACTTAATTTTGTCTCAAACATTCAAAATATCCAAAATACATATTTCCTGAGAATGTCTTTTACAACAAAACATTCAAAATACAAACTTTCTGAGTACATTACACGTCCCAAAAACAATATTGCGAAGACAAACACTCAAAAAACGAACTACCGATTAATTGTCTTTCACGGCAAAACATCCCAAAAAAAACAAACTGCTGATTACTTGTGTTTCATGTCAACACATCCAAAAAACATCAACCACCATTCTTGACTACTTATCATTGTTATTGGTCCTCGCAACAATTGGTCTTGGTATAGCAAAAGGTCTCCCCCGTCCTCGCATAATCTGCATTTTAGTATAACCCCGTCGTCGTTGAACAGATGTGGATTGGACTCGAATGGGCTCAGATTGCACTGATTGCACGGTCTGACTTAATTATGTCGGTGCCGAAGAACCTACATATGAACGCACTTCATAATTAGTTACATGATTAAGCAAAAGACGAAGACAAATAGTAATACAAAAGTTTACAGAATTGCACCTTCAACCGAATGTGTGTGGCGGACTTCAGAATTAGTACCTCCAACTCGACGTTGTACACGTCGTGGTGGTGCACTTGAACTTGCTTCTTCGACATCCTAACAGCAAGAAAGAAACAACATTAAGCTAAAATGTATTTACATGAACCAAAACAGGATTTGACAACGTACCTTCATTTTTTTTGGTCTTCCCCTTCCGCGCTTAGGACCATAATGTTGAACAGGTTCATTTCTACATGTTTTTGCATTATGTCCAACCTGTTTGCATTGACTACACGTCATTTGTCTTCCATGTCGTGTAAGCTTTCCCCGATTTGATGGAGACTCATGAGCAGATTTTATTCGGCTAAACTTCCTTGGTCGACCAGGCAACTTTCTCTTTTTGGGAACGCCTATTGGATCTTTCAGAGTTTTTACCCAAAATGGTTCTCCATTGACAGGCATTATATTCTGTTCATACAACAGTTCCAATCTTCTGCTCGAGAAATAGTCAGACACGTACTTTACAGCATCCTCTCATCGGTTATTGATAATACATAGTCCATGCTTACATGGAATACCCGTCAAATCCCACTTCCGACAAGGGCAACTCCGTGAAGAAAGATCCAATGAATAACTTATCCCTGACTCCATCACCTCATATTTCCCATACCCACTCGGTATTGATATGCAAAAACGTGTGTCATTCTGATTTTTAGCTAACTCTTTCATAGCATGTGAAGTGAGGTATGTCTTACATACCTTGACCTCTCTTAATCTTTGTGCTATCCGTTGCATAGTTTGCCTCCGAATCATTTCGAGCATGTCAATCAAGGGACGTAGTCGAGCAGCTTTTATAGACATATCGAAACTCTCCGAAAAATTGTTGTTAACATCTTCGCAATGTGATTGTGTTCGGAAAAATGCCTTGCACCAATGTTTTGGGTCATTGGCAATTAAGACCTCAAATGCCGCTGGGTTTATGTCTTTTATCTCCTGCATATACCGCTCATAATCACCTTCATGGCAAACAAAAAGATACATGTATTAGTATAATGAAAAATGTACAAATGACAAAGGCAAACATTTAGAAACAAATTTACTAACCTTTATGATAGTTATTTGCAGTGCCCCAAAATAAGTTCTTCAATTCAATGTCCTTGAATTTTCTCTTCAAATTGGCATAAGTATGACGTGCACACATGCGGTGCTCACAAAGCGGTCATTCATTGGAAACAGCATTAAACAATCCCTTTTGCTTATCGGATATTATGGTCACATTACATCCTTCACCAAGACATAAATCTGTCTTCAATTTCTTCACAAACCAATTCCATGAATGGATATCTTCTCCACGTACCACTGCCCATACGATTGGATATATACGGTTATTACCATCCATGCCAACCGCTGTTAGCAACTCTCCTTTCAAACTCCATCTCAAAAAACACCCATCCAAGCGTATCACAGGATGACAATATTGTTTCCATGCCTCTCTTAGCACCTCGAAACAAATATAGAACTTGTCAAACACTTGATTTCCACGCTCAGTCTTGGTGCAAATTTCTGTTGTTATGTTAGGATTGGATCTGTGCAGTTCTGCCTCATAATCCCACAGCTTACCAAACTGAACTTTTTGATCTTCCATGACGATTCCCAACCTTATACGACGAGCCTTATAACATATAGTCTTCCGTACTGTCAAATTGTACTCAGTTTGCAAATCATATTGTATATCAGCTGCCGTATAACCAGGGTTTCTTCTTAACTTGTCTACAAACATGTTGGCAATCTGTCTCATCTTCAACATCTTTGCCTTTCCATTTGGGATATGACTGTGGTGAGGGTAATAAGTCTTGATAACCCATTTGTCCAATGTTACATCAACTGAACAATAAAATCTCCATTGACAGCCTTCATGAGTACAAACCGCTATCAATTTCTTACTTTCACTCCTATCTAACTTCACGTTAAACTTTTTCGACAACACATACTGAAGCAATGCAGCTTTAACATCAGCACTAGAATTAAACATTTTACCAACACAAAGTTCTGTAACTTTGGATGGTTCTATTATCGATCCCTTCTCTTGCTTCATGTCGATATCAAAATGATTCCACTCATCTTCTGTATTCATTGGAGTGGAAGGATAACCATCATCATTCACATAATCCTCATCTATCACATTATCCTGATTTTGCCTCATTTCATCAACTTGGAATAACTGATCGTCTATTCCTTCATTATCATGCCAACAACTATCATTATTATCATCAACATTATTATTCTCCACACTATCACACTCCTCAGAACTACTCTGCTCTTCACTCTGATCATCTGACAAATCATCTCGTTCCTCCATTACAAGTATTCAATCGAACCCTAAATCAGAAAATCGACTTAGACAGAAGAAACATCTCAAATCGAAGCAAAATTTTCGCGCAAATAATGTCTACCCAAGTACCCAAACACCTATTTTCTAACTCAAACACGAAATACTTACCTGGAGAAGAACCTATCCAAGCTCCTCTGCAGCAAAATGTCGACGTGTCTCTGTTCCTCTCTCCTATAAAGCGATGCGAAACTCCAAGAAGAGAGTGAAGAAGAGAGGTTTTCGGGATGCAAAATTTCTCTGTTGAAGCGGAAGAAGAGATTTCTCAGAAAATCTGGGATTTTGGTGGAAGAGGAGAGCTTTGTCGATGATGTTAGGGATTTTACATCTCCAATTCGATTTTTGGTATAAATGAGCCAATTTAGGGTTTCTTTCATTAAATTGGTTCGCTGCACCGGTTTATTCCATACCGAATTATTTAACCGATTTTGTCTACGTGTCAATTGATTCTGACGTGTAATCCAACGTGGCCAAGCAAAATAACTTCTCAGACGCCACGTTTACACTTTCGAATGCCACATCAGCAAATTTTGTCTAATTTGTCAATCGACAACGAGTTCAGGTATTTTTTTGTTTCATTAAAAAAGTTTGGTGTTTATTTGACAAAAAAAAAAAGTTCGGTGTTTTTTTGTCAAAATTGAAAAGTTTAGTGTTTTTTTTGGGATTATCCCTTTATGATTTTTTAAAAGGTCATGTATTTATCTGAGAATTTTATAGTTGAAGTATTTATTTGAGATTTTTGTAAAAGTTCGAGTATTTATATACGATTTTTTTTATTATTTCACAACTTTACTTTTTTATATAGATAATATACTAATAATTTTATAATAATTTAATGTTATAGATATATTTTTTCTATATCAAACAAATAATTTATATTGTAAATAGATAATTATGAACAAATTATTATAAAATTAAATGAGAAAAGAATTTATTTTTATTTTAAATATATTTTATTTTAATAAAAATTATTATTATTTTAAATAAAATTTATTAATTTATCATCTGTAACACATTAATTATAAAAAATTATGATAATACTAAATAATAAATTTTATTTTTTAATAAAATGGTGAGAAGAAATTGGGTAAATTTAAATATTTATTAATAAATTTTATTGTTTTAATCGATTTATGTGGTTAAAATGTTCGATTAAAAGTCTATATAAAAAAATATAATTGTACTGTATTTATAATTATATAATATATAATATAGAAATTATTATAAGATTAAATGAGAAAAGAATTGATTGTTATTTTAAATGCAATTAATTTTTTAAAAATTTATTTTTTATTTTAAATAAATTTTGTTGATTTATCATTTATAATATATTGATTATGAATAAATTATGATAAAACTAAATATTACCTTTTTAAATTAGATTTTGAAAAATTAAATACTGAAACAAATTTAATTTATTCTTATTTTTAATGATTTATCAATTTATTTTATCAATAAAGGCTTTGATTGGAAGTGATTTTTCCAATTTTTGAAAGTCAAAAACCTAAAAAATCTCCGGTCATGATTTTTTTTTATTTTCAGTTTTTGGAAAATAAATTTTTTAAAAAACTAACGTGAAAACCAAAAATCACTCTTTTATAGATTTTAAGAATTTTTTATTAGTTTTTTATTTTTATTAAAAAATTAATTATAAATTATTTTTCAAATTTTATTAGTCAAAATATATATTGTACACATCTTATATTGTTATTATTAATATTAATAAATATTATTTTTGTTTTAATACTAAAAACTCTTTTCGTAATTTTTAAATATAAAATCAAAAACTAAAATCTAAAATATTATTTCTACCAATCAAGTTTTTTAAAAACTGTAAAAACTATAAAAACCAAAAACCTAAAATAAACTATTACCATTGAAGACCATATTTGAGATAAAATTATAAAAAAAAAATATAATTACACCTTATATTCAATTGTTTGGACAAACTAGTGAAGTTTCTATTGGATATTATTGTTTTCATCGGAGAACACCAAAGCCCGTTCGGCCCAAGTTAGTGCATGTAAACGACATCATTTTAAGAAGTCGGCTTTTTAGATCTGCGAAACCAGAACTCGGGTGCAGTTCTCGTGCCGTTTGTATCTAAAGCTTTTGCAAAATCATCTCTTCGAAAAAATGGTCTACCCCACCCTTACCATTCTACCTTTCGGTAGAAGAGATTTCTAGGGTTCTTCCGCTCGCAGAGATTGAGAGGGAGATCAAGATTTTTTGGTCCTTGCATATACCGAATCGGAACCCTAGTTCTGTGAACAAAAGCCATGGCTCGTCACAGAGACGATGATGAATATGTTGATGAGTACGATGAAGAGGACGCTGCGGCGGAGTTAGACGAGGAGGAGGAGGAAGAGGAGGAGCGAGGAGGCCGAGGAGGAAGTTCGAGGCGGAAGCGGACGAGATCGGGTTTCATCGATGACTATGCGGAGGAGGATTCCGAGGAGGAGGAAGATGAAGATGATGATTATGGAGGTCGTGGAGCAAGGGGAAATAAGAAGAAGAAGAAGACTTCGGCTTCCATATTTTTGGATGAAGAGGCCCAGGTGGATGACGATGAGGAAGAGGAAGAAGAAGAAGGAGAGGATGGTAAGGGGAATTTGAACTTTCTTCTGTCGAGTTCTTTTGATTTTAGAACTTTCACTTCTCAGTTAACTTCGACCTCCTTGCTTTTTGGTTTTCATTAGATATGAACTCGAGGACTTTACTGTGCTTGTTTGAGCTTGAACCTAAGGATTAATGGTGGGCTAAGTGATTAGGTTACCCCGAGTAGTAATTGTTGAGATTCTTGGTTCTGGGCTATCGATGCAGTTTTGAATTATGTGTTTTTCATGTCAAGATTGTTTCTTTTTCACATGGGTACTTTGAGGATTCAAAGCAGTATTGCATTCCGATCTCTTGGCAAGCAAAGCTTGTTTTCAGTCACGTGAAAAACTTCCAGTATATAATGGAGTATTATTTGCTATAGACCGTAGTCTTTCACTCGTAATCTGTCAGGTTTGCTTCTTACTTTGTATGTTCTCTTGATCTGTCGAGTTTGCTGCTTACTGCTAGTAAATATCATGTTTTATTTTAATTGCAGATTTCATAGTGGATGGTGGAGCCGACATACCTGATGAAGGTGTTGGTAGACGACTTCATGATCGTAGGTTTCTTTCTCGTGAAGAAAACGAAGAGGATGTTGAAGATCTTGAAAGGAGGATTCAAGAGAGGTATTCTAGGCATCATGCGGAATATGATGAGGAGGCCACTGATGTTGAGCAACAGGCTCTTTTGCCGTCGGTCCGTGATCCGAAATTGTGGATGGTGAAATGTGTGGTAGGTATTTTACATTTTTAGGCTTCAAAATTGGAAGTCTCGTTTCTCCATGCTTATTCCATTTCCTATCAAAAGCTTATTTGTATTCCTTAGTGTTGATTCTCTTCAATTGGGAATTTCCAATATCAGATTGGCCGTGAAAGGGAGGTTGCTGTTTGTCTTATGCAAAAATTCATTGATAGAGGATCAGATTTGCCGATCAGGTCTGTTATTGCACTTGATCATCTGAAAAACTATATATATGTTGAAGCAGATAAAGAAGCTCATGTGAAAGAGGTATTTTCTGCTTTCCCTCATGCATATGATTTTTTTTTATGAGCCTAGCACGGTGTTTCATCAGTGTTAAGGTAATTTGATATGTTACATTGGTTTGCTTACATGTGGTTTAGGCCATCAAGGGAATGCGGAATATTTATCATAGTCAAAAGATTTTACTTGTTCCTATAAGAGAAATGACGGATGTTCTCTCTGTTGAAAGCAAAGCAATTGATCTATCACGAGATACCTGGGTTAGAATGAAGATTGGAACATATAAAGGGGATCTTGCTAAGGTATGGTCCAGTTTCCTCTGTTCTTTATATGACAAAATCCCTGAATCTCACTGAGATGATCTTTTACAGGTTGTTGATGTAGATAATGTGCGTCAGAGGGTCACGGTGAAGTTGATCCCGAGGGTCGATATGCAGGCTCTGGCTAATAAGTTGGTATGGCATCTTTCCATTCTTATGGAGGATATATCGTGTTATTACTGTTTGCTAAATATGTCTTACTGACCAGAGTTACAGTATGTTACTTTGAATGACAATGAACATTCTTGCATATGTAAGAGTTTTAGATATTGCTTTAGATGTCTAAACTATTCAATTATTTGTGCACGTTGGGTATATGCAGGAAGGGAGAGAAGTTGCAAAGAAAAAAGCCTTTGTTCCACCTCCCCGTTTCATGAATATTGATGAGGCGAGGTACTTCTTCCTTTACACCATTCAGTAATTTTGAGGAGCAAATGTTGTAGAGAAGATTTTTTTTTTGGTGATGGGTTTTCTGTGTCAAAATTTTAGGGAATTGCACATTCCTGTCGAGCGCCGGAGGGATCCAATTACTGGCGAATACTTCGAAAATATTGGTGGCATGCAATTCAAAGATGGTTTCCTGTACAAAACAGTGTCGATGAAGTCAATAACTGCCCAGAATGTTACACCGAGTTTTGATGAGCTTGAAAAATTCAATAAACCGAGTGAAAATGGGGAGAGCGACATTGCTAGTCTGTCAACTTTATTTGCAAACAGAAAGAAGGGGCATTTCATGAAGGGTGATGCAGTTGTTGTCATCAGGGGTGATCTAAAAAATTTGAAAGGATGGGTTGAGAAAGTGGATGAAGAGAATGTTCATATCAGACCAGAAATGAAAGGCCTCCCTGTAAGCATTCATGCTCCAGGATTCACCTTTTAGATGCTTTTAAAATTCTTGAGCCAGTAAAAAAGGTTGTGTGTGATTCTTGTGTTGCAGAAAACCATTGCTTTAAACGAGAGAGACCTTTGTAAATACTTCGAACCTGGAAATCATGTGAAGGTTGTTTCTGGCACCCATGAAGGAGCGACCGGCATGGTTATCAAAGTTGACCAGCATGTGCTTATCATTCTGTCTGATACAACAAAAGAAGATGTAAGCCATATTTTGTGCAACTCATGAACAAATTTGCTATCAAAAAAAGAAAATAAATCAAACGAGGATTATATTTTCAGGTCCGGGTGTTTGCTGATCATGTTGTTGAGAGCTCAGAAGTGACAACAGGTGCTACCAAAATAGGAGACTATGAAATCCATGACCTTGTGCTTCTGGAGTAAGTAGAGACCCAGTTTTAAGTGATGTATCTTTGTCATTCACAGATGTATGAGAATTCTAATTTCTTGATGCAGTAATCTGAGCTTTGGGGTAATCATACGACTGGAAAGCGAAGCTTTCCAGGTAAAGTGCTATAACTTGTGTGATCGTATCTTTTTGTTTGGAATGTTCTCTAATTCTGTTTGCTCTTTAAGGTTCTTAAAGGGGTCGCAGAGAGACCGGAGATCGTTCTTGTCAAACTCAGAGAAATCAAGTGCAAAATTGAGAGGAAATCCGATGCACAAGATCGATACAAAAATACCGTCTCCGTGAAAGATGTTGTCAGAGTCATTGAGGGTCCTAGCAAAGTCAGTGACCATTTTTTGTTTACCTGTGAATTAACATTCCTGTGTGCTGGTCTTACACTAGTTTATTTGTGTTTAATAGGGTAAGCAAGGTCCAGTGATGCATATTTATAAAGGGATCTTATTTATAAATGACCGTCATCACCTTGAGCATGCTGGATTTATCTGCGCTAAATGTACGTCATGTGTTGTTGTTGGAGCACCACGTCCCGGTACTGATAGAAATGTAAGCCTTTCTTTTCTGTCTGATTATTTTTTTGTTTATATACGGCAATAAAATTACCGGTCTTATTAACTTCTTTACTAGGGTGATTCCATGTCAAGGTTTGGCACTTTCAAGACACCGGCCCCAGTGCCCCAATCTCCTAGGAGATCTCAACGAGGAGGCATGGGATATAACTGTATGTTCAGATTTCCTGATATCATCTTTGTTACCATTAGAAAGTTCTATTGGTTAATATCAGTTGATATTTCTTCTATTTTTTTTTAAAAACAGTCCCTGCTTTGTTCTAAGTTTTAGCACTGTGAAATGTTCATGTGCACGATAAATTTACTGCTACAGTTTCTTGTAATTTTGAACTGTATTTTGAATTTGCAGCGGGAGGGAGACATAGAGGAGGAAGAGGGGGTCATGATGCGTTGGTGGGTACCACCGTGAAAATCCGACTGGGTCCTCACAAGGGATATAGGGGTCGTGTAGTGGAAGTCAAAGGCCCGTCAGTACGGGTGGAACTCGAGTCTCAGATGAGAGTTGTGATAGGTAATGCTATCTATTTGACTTCTCCTGACCTAGTTTTTTTATGTGTTTCTTTATGCATTCTAACTGTATTTGCATTTGCAGTTGACCGGAATGCAATATCGGATAACGTGGTTGTGACACCGATGAGGTAAAATAATATTCAAATCCTTTTTTGTTGCCGGTGGTTATTCCATAATTTATCAAACGGGAAAGCGATAATATCGTTTGTCCCTTCTGTGCAGAGACACATCTCGGTATGGTATGGGAAGTGAAACGCCTATGCATCCTTCTCGGACACCTCTTCATCCATATATGACTCCGATGCGGGATTCTGGAGGTTCGGTTTTCTCAAACTCTTGCAGAGTCTAGAGACTCGGATGTTTCTTTATCTGGTTTCGTCTTTTTTAAATCTTATCCCGTTTGTAAAATATACTTTGAAAAATTAACAGCTACACCGATCCATGATGGGATGAGAACCCCCATGCGTGATAGAGCTTGGAACCCATACACGCCCATGAGTCCACATAGGTAATACTTCTTTTCTTCCATCTTTATTTTTCAGATGTTGGTTTTGTGTACTATTCCCCAAGCTTTACATGATGTATTAGTCTCATGTGGCTAGAAAACAAATAATATTCAGCATTCTGATAATGGCATGCATTTTGTTGAAGAATCTCTACTAGTGTTTATTACCTAATCAGAGAAATAAATTGGGTGGTGGTATATTTTTAGGGATAGTAACTGGGAAGAAGGGAATCCGGCGTCATGGGGAACAAGCCCTCAGTATCAGGTAAGGTTTCATCCAAGTCCTGGCCACCAGTGAATTCTATGTCTCTCGGTTATGTTGTAATTGTTTCTCTTTTCCAGCCCGGAAGTCCTCCTTCTCGAGCCTATGAAGCACCGACACCTGGCTCCGGATGGGCTAGTACCCCTAGCGGTAGTTACAGTGATGCCGGGACACCAAGGGACAACAGTTCCGCCTATGGTATTTGTCACTTCCTTGCAAGCCGGTGTTTTCTTTTTTTCCGTTCTTGCTTTGGCCGATGTCCTCACGTTTCTTTCTCACGCAGCCAATGCCCCGAGTCCTTATCTTCCATCTACGCACGGGCAACCCATGACGCCAAACTCGGCATCTTACTTGCCCCGCACTCCAGGAGGACAACCTATGACTCCTGGAACCGGTCTTGATGTCATGTCCCCTGTTATCGGTAGTCTCTCTTATTCATCCACCCAATGTTTTCATACCCAAAATTTCTCCTTTTATTTTTTTGCGGGTTTCTTCTTAGCTTACGTACCGTGAGAATTACAGGTGGAGATGCCGAAGCGTGGTTTATGCCTGATATTCTGGTAGAAGTGCACAAGGCTGGAGAGGATACCGATGTGGGAGTCATTCGAGATGTTCTTCCGGTTTGTTTCTCATCCTTTCTTACCGTATACGCCTCGGTGCTATCGAATGCATCCTCATTCCTCACACGCCATACACTCGGATTCTATCGTTGCACTTTAGAAACTTGTCCCGAGGATCCAATATCATCGGAAGA